TGGCTGGGATGATGTAGCTGGGGCTGGCCCTGCTTGGAGCAGGGGGTTGCACTAGATGTGACCTGAGCTTCCTTCCAGCCCCAGTTGTCTGTAACATTGGATATTCTTTTTACAGTGGATTCCTGTCACCAAGCTTGGCCGCCTGGTCAAGGATATGAAAATCAAGTCTCTTGAAGAGATTTATCTTTTCTCCCTTCCAATCAAGGTAAGGGGATATGAATGGGTAGAGACTGAGGATTTGAACTCCTGTGCCATGTGCTGGTCTGCAAAATGAATGGGTGTTGTATTATAAAACGTTTGTCAAGGAGATCTCTTTCAGGGTTGGTTGTTAATAGATAATAGACCTTTACACAAGGACCCCAAATGTGCTGTTTCACCTTCCTTTGAGGTAGTGGAAATCCTTATTTAATGCACTGCTTGAGGTAGCATAAAGTAGGCCAGTTTGGTGATTTAATGCAACAGATGTTATTTAAGGGAACCCAGGTGAAGTCTGCTCATGCAAATGTAGATTGTATTATGTCTTTCAAGATGCATGGTACTTTTTGAGTATTTAAGAACACTATTTACTGCAAAAGATTATGCAGGTATCCAATACCTTAGTGGCTGGCTGGTTTTATTGAAAGAGGTTCATCTTTAGACCACCAGACTATCCTGTATCCTAAATCTGTCTGGTTGTAGTCCTGTGTACCAGAAGAATCAGGGTCATGGAGAAATTGCCTTGCCAGGAAAGACCGTAAAAAGTCTAGGGCTCCTTAGTTAAAAGGAGAAGGCTGAGGGGGATCTGGTAAAGGTTTGTGGTGATAAAGATTATTAAATCATGGTGGGTGTTAGACCAAATGAACAGGGAACTGTTCCCAGGTCCCAAAATACTAAAACAGCAGTCACCCACAGAAATTAAAAGATGATGGGTTTATAAAACTAACAAGAGAAAGTACTTCTTCAAGTGGTGTGTAGTTAATTGATTGCCACAGGAGGTGGTGGAGGCAGACACACCATAGCTGAGCTCAGAAATGGGGCTGGATGAATTCGTGGGGAATGGGTATAGTGTTTGCTGTTGAACAGAATGGCTGGAAAGGTTTCCTCTGGCATCCCTAAACCAGTAATGCTGGATGCAGTGTGGGGTAGTGAATATTGAAATAGTGATTTGGGGATAGATCACCCTTGAGATGTCTACAGGATGCTGGGCTGACCCAGCCTGGCACTCTTTTCTGTTGTGATGGACTAATTTACTTTGATTTCTGCAGGAGTCAGAAATCATCGACTTCTTCCTGGGATCTTCCCTGAAGGATGAGGTTCTGAAGATCATGCCTGTCCAGAAACAGACCCGGGCTGGTCAGCGTACCAGGTTCAAGGTGATGTTTCCAGAGCAGTACCTGCCTCAGTTTAATTGTTGCAGTTAGGGTATGTTGTGATGCCGATGTTCCTGGGGTGCAGTGTTGGGATGGTAAATAATCCATTCCTTCCATAAAGGTGCGAATACAACCTTCATGGCATGCACAGGAGTGACTCTAGTGGGGAATAATTACAATGCCTATGGAAGTGCTCAGTGGCTGTGGCTTCAGGAGGGCTTTGGGTGACCCATTTTCCCATTCATCCAGCGCTGCCCTTGGACCAGAAACAAGCATAGCTGGATCTTTAGGGCCCAGCTCTCCTTGAGCTCAGGCTTTAGCTGGAGTTGCTTTTGCAACTGGTTGTAGTGGGGTGTGATGCTGGCTTTGCTGTATGTGGTACGGTACAGAGAACAGAGCTGGAATACCCCTGTCAGGAAGGAGCCTTAGAGGCAGATTTTTCGTTTCTGGGCTGTGGGGTGGAGTCCTGTTTCCTTGCATTGTGGCAGGATCCTTTCTGATGTGGTGAAAGGGAGGCTGTGTGTGTAAGCAGAGTGCTGTAGCCCTACTAAAGGTTTGGTTTTCTTCATTTTAGGCTTTTGTTGCTATTGGTGACTACAATGGACATGTTGGTCTCGGTGTCAAGTGCTCCAAGGAAGTTGCCACTGCTATCCGTGGGGCAATCATCCTGGCTAAGCTATCCATCGTACCAGTGCGACGAGGCTATTGGGGTAACAAGATTGGCAAGCCCCATACTGTACCCTGCAAGGTAAGGCTTGGTTGGCTTTATCCTGTAGTCCTGTGCTGTGCTTTCAGGTGTGAACACACACATTTTGTTGTTCTTAACCCCCTTTCCTCTTGGACTAGGTGACAGGCCGTTGTGGGTCTGTGTTGGTGCGTCTGATCCCAGCACCCCGTGGGACAGGGATTGTATCGGCCCCGGTTCCCAAGAAGCTGCTGATGATGGCTGGGATTGATGACTGCTACACCTCAGCCAGGGGCTGTACTGCCACGTTGGGCAACTTTGGTAAGTTTGAGGCTATCAACTCCCTGCTAGTCAGCTGGACTTCTAGTCATTTTGTTACCTCTCAGACACAGTTAGTCTCAGTGTGCAACTAAACCGTCCATTTAGGCACTAGTGTTTTTGCTTATTAATTTGAAAACCCCCATCCTGGTCAAACAGGAAATCAGATGGTCTGTGCTGCCAGACTGCAGAACACAAATTGGTCTTTGGGAAAAATACTTAAATCTCTTGTACCAGATATTCCAGGTGCTGCCCAGTAAAATGCCAATTTTTCTTCTGTTTTCATTCTGTTTAAAGCTCTCTCAGCTCTGCTCAGTTGCGTCTGTCTGAAATGGTGCAACTGTCGTTATTGGAGAGAGAAAGGAAATGAGTTTAATATGCACGGCAGTGGGACCTCGCAATATGGTCTCCTTGCTCCTTTTCAAACTCAACACTTGTTTCTGTGGCTTGGTTTGACTCATGCAGTAGGTTGTTTTCCTTGCTGAGGTGTTCAGGCGGCTGCTTTGTAATGCATAGTACCTGATGTCTGGTTTGGTTTTCTGTTCCCTCAATAGCTAAGGCCACCTTTGATGCAATCTCCAAGACTTACAGTTATCTAACTCCTGACCTCTGGAAGGAGACTGTGTTCACCAAGTCTCCTTATCAGGTAAGAATGTGGAATTGCTACATCTTGTGTGCACAACTTGGAGCCTGTTGCATGAAGTTCTGTAGATGGACTTTGCTAGCAATAGTGACTTCAAACCCTAGTGCAGGGGCCATGTGAGTCTTGCCTTTCAACTGAGAAAGTAAGTATTAGTTAAACCCCCATGGCTGCAAATGCTGCCAGTTCAAGATGTGCTGTCACCAGTAGGATATTCTGTGCTCTGGAGCAGGCTGGCAACTGCTGTGAGAGAGGAGTGAAATGAAGCTTGCACAGCCATAGCTGTCTCCTGATTGTCTAGTGCCATAGGAAAAAGAGTCAAGTTGTCACTTGATCTTACCAGTTAAAATATTACCAGTTGATTTCATGACATGTTAATTCCCATCTTGTGTTTGAATTAAAAACCCTTTTTTTTCCTTGCAGGAGTTCACTGATCATCTTGCCAAGACCCACACCAGGGTCTCGGTGCAGAGAACGCAGGCAGCTGCTGTGGCAACAACTTAACATGTTTTTTTACAAGAAAATAAAGTGATAAGTGAACCGGACCTTGATGTTAATGTGTGTTGTGCTCTGAGCCCATTCTGGGGACACTGTACAGATGCGGGAATGATGAGTTAAGCTGCAGCACTGCTGAAAAAGGACCTTGGAGGTTTGTGTCTGGAAAAGTGTGCAAACAGGAGACTGATGAGAGAAAGTACAGCCAGCTGCTACTGTCTCATAAAGCACTGCCTTTCCTGAAAAATAACCCTAGCACTGCTTTGACTTTATAGCAGCAGGTACCACCAGTGGTATGCAGACACATGTCAGTGGTACATGTTAACAACTGTATTATAGTTACTTTTATATGACACATTTGCTGGTGGTACTTAAGGTTGTATCACTTTAAATTGACAGTGGGCAATCTGTTGGTTTGGGAACTTCCATTATGTACATTGACATAAAATGGCCACAGTGAGTGCAACAAACAGGCTTTATTATTAAAAGGTTAAATTCTGTCATGGCAGTGCAATTCTAGGCTGCCTTCAGCAACGATGGCAAATATTTGACTACAGTTGATGTATAGACCCCTTAGCTCCCTGTGAGAGTTTAGAATGTGATTGAAAAGCAGCCCTTACAACCTGTAGGCAAACACAACTTGTGGCTTAGCTTGCACCTCCCTTCCAAGCAACTACCAGCTGATTGAAGTTCCCTAGCAGCCTGAAAGGGCCAGGAATTCTGCTGGTACTAGGGGAACCACTAAAGGGCACCAACACTTTCTACTCTTAAAATTGATGAACAGCATGGTCTTAACATTTTAAGGCTATCTTTTTCAATATCCCTCTGTAGGAAGCAGCTGTCCAAGTACATCCTCACCATTTTGAAGTGTGTGGTTAGCTCTTTCCATAAGATCAGGCAGTGTTTGACTGAAAGAAACTGCTGCTGTGACCCTTACACTAGTCTGAGCAGAATTCTAGAAACTCCAAGCAGCAGTGATAATACAGCTCTCCCCAAAGCGCTGCAAAGAAAAGAAGCCCAAAGGTACCTGCTCTTCTTTGCCCATAAGACATCACAACAAAGCCACAGTGTCTGGATCAGTTTGGCAGAGATCTCTGCCTGTTTTATTGTATGGGTTAAACTATACAGCTTACAGACCACACCACAGTGCAAATATGCATATAATGCAATACTATGTCCTGGCACCTTACGTCTGCAGTAACTATTCAGGCCTTGTTCGCTTGGGCTTGTGCCTTCCTTTCTTCCATCATTCTGTGCTTCTGCTTCATTAAGCATTGTCTAGCACCACGATACATGTCAAGCTCAGCATCTAGAAGAGAACTAGGACAGTGCTAAAACTTCTGGTGCACCCCCAGCTTAAGTTGTAGCTAGAGGAAATGAAGGCAGTATAACTCCAGGTCTTTCCTGAATAGTTTGAAAGGGCAACTTCTCACAACCCTCCACAGGAGGGCTCCAGCCTGGCATAAGGACTTAACAGCATCCTCCTTCCCCCTATCCCATCCCAGCCAAACCTGAACAAGTTTTCAGAAAACACTGGTCAGCTTTCCTCTTACTTACATCTGAGCTCAAAGGCTCTGGCAACCTCCATAAATTGATCCAACTCCTTGGCGCAGTTTTTAAGGTAAGCTTCCTCCTCCCTGTACTGGCAGGCTTTAAACCTGTCTTGGATTATCTTCACAATTTCCCGATCGACTTTCCTGCAAGACAGGAGGAGCCAGCTGCACCGGGACAATATCACACTTCAAATACCAATCCCGCTATAACGGAGGGTGCAATGAAAAGCCCGAGCCAAACCCGACTGTCTGAAGAGTTGGAAGAAACGGGGCAGCGCTCACTGCATCCGTGTCTTGGGGTGCAATTCAGGCATGCTGCAAAAGACTGGCGGGGACAGAGGAATGAGGGCTCCTCAAAACCCCCCCCCGTTTTCCCGACCTCCCAGCCAGCCCCGGCCCCAAACGCAGTGCTGCAGCACCAGGCCTCCTCGAGACAAGTTCATCATCCCGGGTGACCTACGTACCTGTCCCTCACGAACTGCATCTCCGCCTCGAAGACGCACAGCGGGTCGTTCTCCCAGCACTCGGTGATGTAGGGCACGCGGCGATACTGCCGGTGGTAGTAGTAGAACTTGTGCTTGGCATGCTGCCGGTCCATCCACTCTGCGCCCCGGAGGGGATGGCATGGGGGCATAGGGAGACAGAGATGGGGGAGGGGCAATTTTAGATGTCCACGCGCAGGCCCCGCCCACAGCCCCCGCCCGGCTCGGGGATCCGTAGTGGACACGGCGCTGCCCCTCCCCCCGCTACCTCGGAAGTAGGTGACCGGCCTGTCGACGCCATAGTAGAAGACCTTCTCGAAGAAGCGGAGCGGGCTGTAGGGCGGGTCCTTGGTAACCGGGGTGCGCGTCGGCGGCTTCTTGTAGGCCTCGTGGTCCCAGTCCTCCGGCATCGCGCCCGCTTTCTCTCAGGCCGGACAAAATGGCGGCGCCGGGGGGTCAGGCCGGGGCCAGAGGTTAAAGGGGAAGGGAAGGCGCATGCGTGGAGAGGGGAGCGCGGCGCCGCTCGGGAAGAAGGAGGCGGCGCATGCGCGGGCGCGGGGCATTCCGGGAGATGTAGTTGCGGGCCGTGCTGGCCTGAGCCGGCCGGCAGGGGGCAGCAGAGCAGAACAGGGGGCTGCAGCTGGGCAAGGGGCAAGGCGGGGGGGCTCTGGGGCACCCCCAGCCCCTGTGGCCCTGGGGGCTGTTGCACAGCGCCAGCACTCGCGGGAGCTTTGCTGCCAGGGCTGAATAGCGAGGGGGGGCGCCCACATGCTGGGCTCCCCAAGCAGGCTCGCCGCCCCTGGGCCAGTGGGTCTCGACCCCACTAGCATCAGGAAACCCTGGCACTGGGCCGTTCTTGCAAGGCAAAGCCCCTCCGCGAGCCCTGCGTTCCTGTCGCAGTCCCCGCGCTTCCCCGGTGAATCGGGTGCCCCGGGGCACCCTGAGAAGGATCCCGCGGCACCCCAGGGCAGGGGGTCACGGACCCCAGTTGAGAATCACGGTGCCGCCGCGCATCCTCCAGCGACAGGAGGCGAGAGGCGGTGCTCCTACTCACCACTGTTTTCAGGACGGATGGGAGGGTGGTGGGAAGAGATCCAGGGAGGTGCCTGGCAGCGTGGGAGCTTTGCAAAACACAGGCTGACCCGACGCCAAGGAGCTGCAATGGGTCATTAGCGCCCTGCGTCCCAGATGGACATTATTGGCCCCAAGTGATGAGTCAGGGATGCCGTGCAATGGGGCTGTTGTGTCTGATGGGGGGATCACGTGCACGCAGACGGTGGCAGGGAACCCCGATGGCAGCTTCCTGCTTGAAAGGGCTCAAGCATCCTCGCCGATTAAACCGTGCATTAACTAATCTCGGGAGAAGCGAAAGCCGTCGTGTGCCGGGATGAACGGAGCCCGGGGAAACAGCGTACTCAAGCCCTGATGCAGAGAAAAACTCTTGCTTCAAACTGCAGCCCTCAGTCCTGCAATGAGCTTTGCAGGGGCTCAGCCAGGAGCAAAGGGCCCAGTGATACATGCCCAAGGGTTGGACTATTCGTTGTAGCCGTGTTGGTCGAAGGGATGAAACTTTTGGGGCCGAGGTGATATCTTTTATAGACCTTTTATAAAAGATACCTCTGCCCAACAATTTTGTCTGCCTGGGTTTTGGGGGTTTTTTTGCATGCCCTCCAGGGTCAGTTCTCGCCACCTCTGAGGACAGAAGTCAGGGTTGGGGTGTGCTGCCCAGAGCAGGGCAATGCCTCTGCTGCCCCCAAATAAATCCTCAAGTTCCCTGTAGGGAGGCCAATTTTATCCCAGAGCCTCCAGCAGGGATGAGGAAGCCCTGGGTTCACGGAGGACATTTGCTGAAAGCGACAGGGCTACGCCCGAGGCAGCACCGGCGATCAACCCCGTTCATGTCCGAGTGTTTCCAGGGGTAAATTGAGACACCAGCCAGTGACCTTTAGCACGTCACAACTGTTGTGAGTGTCCAAGCCTGCCAGCTTGCCTGAGTGTGAAATGAATATCGCGTTGAATGAAGCCAGCAGCTAAATTTGTGTCTTCGGGCCGATAAACATCTTGGGTATTAGACTGTCGAGGCGGTGGGTGACAGCCTCTCTCTGCCGCTGCCCCGCGCTGAAGACGCCCCATGGTCGGTAAAGCTCTGCGTTTGCTCTTTTGGCGGGGCGGGGAGCGGGGTGGGGATCCTCCCTCGGCAGACTGAACTAGCAGGGTGGAAACAGGATGGAAAGAGGCGCTGGTTTACAGCCCTTTCTCCGACGCGAGGGAGACTGCGGCCGGGGCGGTTTATGTAGTTCATCCCAGTCAGCGGTTTTCAGAGGCAGGAACCCTTCCAGGCCGGGCATGGGGACTGCATTTATAAACCTGAAATAAACCCCTTGCTTTAGGGGTGTGGGGGGCTCTTCTCTTCACTCACTGGAAAAGATGAGGGAAGTTCCTGTCTCAGCCTGGGAAGACTTAGTTTGATCTCTGGAGTGGTCTGTCCGCCTATGCAATGGGTGAATGGATGCCTAAAAACGCACGGAAAGGCTAGCGAGATGCATGGTTGTTCACATCGCTGCCATGTGTCGTCTCGCTGATGGATCCTCTTGGAACAAGCAGCCGGCTGGGAGCCCTCCGGGGAAGCCCGGGTCCGCTCCAGCGCCTGCCGAAGTCCCTGGAAAGCTCCCCGCTGACTTGCTCCAGGTCCTTCATCAGACGGGGTGGGCTGTAAATCTGGATCCTGTTTGGTTTTCTCCTTCCAGTCCCATCGCAAGTTCTCGGCGCCCCGGCACGGCCACCTGGGCTTTCTCCCGCACAAGAGAAGCCGTCGCCACCGCGGGAAGGTGAAGACCTGGCCTAAGGATGACCCCAGCAAGCCGGTCCACCTGACCGCCTTCCTGGGCTACAAAGCGGGCATGACGCACACCCTGCGAGAAGTGCACAGGCCAGGGCTGAGTAAGGGCCTTTGGCTGAATCCTTGAGGTCAAATCCAGAACAGAAGGGACGGCTTTGCAATGGGCTGGATGGCCTGTGGGGTTTGCAAGAAGCCCCTTTGCAGCGGGGTTGCATTTGTCAGGGCGCAAAGCCGTGGAGGTGACTGGTATCGTGTGAGCTGGGGGCGCTTAGCGCACGTCCTAGCATGCCGGGGCCAAGCGTTGGCAGAGAAGCCGAGGAGCACACGGGCCGCGGAGAGGGGATGCCGCCCTGCGGCAGATCCCAGACTTGA